TTTGGTGACCAGGGCCTCTTGTCTCCCCTACTAAGGGTGCTGATTGTGGAGTTCGCCCTAGCCCTCCACAGAACAAGCATACAACTGCAGCCCGTTGTGGGCTCATTGACCTCCGGGCTAGGTGGCTAAGGGCTGCTTCCTCCTCTCAGAACCCAGGTGGTTAGGTGTGGGAAAGAGAGCCTGCATATCTTCCCATAGTCAACTTCCTAAAAGACAGTTGAGATCGGAAGAGAGAGGACTTAGGTACAGGAAGCAGAAGGTGGATGACAGGATGGCTGGAATTTTCTCAGCAGAGTTGGCACTAAGAACCATGTTCCCCCTCAGAGTTCTGCAGCAAGGGCCGGGGAGCCTGTCTGCTGGGGGGGGGGGCAGAGTAAGTGTGGCTAAGGCAGAGAGCTGTGGCTTTCAGCTGCCCCTCAAGGCCGTCCACCATCAGCTTCTCCCAGGTCACTACCTGCTTCCCTCCTCCACGACTCTGCATTTCCTTCATGGAATGAGGCCCCTGTAGGGTATTTTCTCAGCTCACAGTTTACGAAAGGCCTGTAGTTACCTCTGCTCCTAAAGCAGAAGCTATAAAGCATGTAGGTAACGTGTCTAGCTTGTCATCCCTGGGCTTGTAGTGTGACCTAATGCACAGTGGATGCTATTCTGCTCTGCTTGTTAGTGATTTTGTTGTTGATGTTGTTTGTTTGAGACAGGGCTTCTTCTGATTTGCACAGCGAACTTCCCTGTGTATAGTCTAACATGTCTAGTTGCTTCCTCTAAGAATAATATGTATGTATGTATTATGTGTGTGTATATATATATTTTTCAATCTAGCCATGCCCTAGCACATGCACTCTATTGCATGGGGCATATCACCCTTGTTTACCTAGCTCTTGGATATGCTGACTATATTCAATTGATTGGCAATGTGGTTGAATTTAAGTGACCATTCTGTCGTTTGCTTCGGTTTGTAGAAGAGGTAGAAGAGGCGGGGCTAGGGAGATGTTTGGCGGGAAGCGGTTAGGTTTGTTATAGCTATGATGCCAGGTTGTTTCAGTATCTCACTGGCTATTCCTTGACTCAGAAATGCCGCAGAGACAGGCAGCCATGGACTCAAATGGAATCAGGGCAATAGTCCTAGTAAATATGAAAAAAAAAAAAGTTAAATATAAAAAAGTAAATATAAAAAAACAAATGATTCCTTTGTTGTAGGCTATAGACTGTGCAAAGAGCAAGGGTCTCTTTAGTAGGATGTAGATGTCAGTTTTGTAGGCTTAGTTTTTTACCTAACCTACTTCATTTAGGATTCCTAAAAGCCTCTACCTCCCTTTCATCCACTGACCAGAGGTAGGGGAGAAAGAAGGTTATTAGGTAAAGGGGGTCGTAGGCCTTTTTGGAAGTAGTATTTGGGGTGAATTCACTCTTCATTGTCCAGATACCAACAGTCCAATTCAAAGGCCAACACCAAGCAGTAAACACGAGTCAGCAAGATTGGGAAGATCAGGACAGGTCGGCAAAAGCCACAAGACTCCGTTGGATTGCCCAGAGAAGTTTTTTTTTTTTTTGTTTTTTTTTTTTGTTTTTTTTTTTTTGTTTTTTTGTTTTTTTGGAACATTTATCTCTGCGAAGTCAAGTGCCAAAGCATGAAGATCAGTGCAGTGATGTCGATCCCAAAAGGGATGCCTCACTGTGCATGGGCCTCTGTACATCTCCTCTTCTCAAAGTCCACCCAGGGATGTTCTCAGCTGGCCAGAGTCACACCCCTTGCACAAGAGAGCCCACAGCAAAACATCACATGACAAAACTGAGTCTTCAAAGAAACCAGAAACCTCCACTTCACAGTTTTGTTATTAATCTGTGCTGCACTAATGATTAAGAATGAATTCAGGCTGAGGGTCACTCTGTGCTGTTGTCTGGATGTGCTTCACACACACACACACACACACACACACACACACACACACACACACACAGAGATTGGATTCCCAAGGCGGTAGCACTGGGAAGTGAGCATGTTGGAAGACACAGGTCTTTCTCCTGAGACTGGATCAGTTCCTGTGAAGATAGTTAGAAGTCACCTGGACCATTCTCATCTCCTCCTCAGGCACGTGCCGCTGCTAAGTTCTTGTCACTCCCACTATCTGAAGCCCTCCGTCATGTTAACGTGTAGCAGGAGGCTCTTTTCTGTTGCATGTAGCCACCATGCTTGTATTCTTTTGCTTCTAGAACCACCAGCCTAGTTAAATCATTGTACTTTATAAGTTACCCAGGTTCATGTATTCTGTTAGGGCAGCAGAAAATAAACTGAGACTTTTTGTCTCAGTTGTCTACTTTGTTTACACTACCTCAGTCCTTAGTAGCATGCATGCCAACAAGAAACAGACCCCATTTAATGTATTCCACATTGTTTGATTTAGGAAATTGCAAGGAGCATCCAGTATATGTCTTCCTAAGTAGTTAGTGTATAATCAAGTACAATGGTTTTCAATGGGCTGTGGATATGGTATAATGAATGCGGCAGTTACTGGTCTTTCTCTTGAGTTCTAGAGAGGTCTTTATATAGAAGTTGATTGAATTTGAAACCTTCTTACCTCATGTTTGAGATGAACTCTCTGTTCAAAAGTCAGCAGCACCTTGTTCATTGAACATTGAAAAGGAGATTTATCCTACAACATCTACTGAAGAGTCCATCTTTCTTCCCACCCTTTCTTCTTCTCTTTCTTCATTCCTTCCTAGTGGGAACACTTTTCTTTCTTTCTTTTTTTCATTTTTACTTTCAATATTATAAGCATTTTAATGGAAAAGGAGAGTCTTAAAATTGATATAGACTTCTCAGTGACCTAAAAGTCAGGGTCAGCTAGCAACCTAATGGTAAAATATTAATGCGGATATGCTTGGTTTATTTCTCTTTCCCTTCTTCTCCCCCTCTCATTTGTCAAAACAGCATCTTTCTTTTCTATGTAGACCTGACTGCCCTGGAACTCACTCTGTACACCAAGCTGGCCTTGAAAACAGAGATCCTCTTTCTCTGACATCTGGATGCTGGGATTAAAGGTGTGAGCCACCACAGACTGGCCAAAATCACAGCATTCTCTATGACTCAAGAGAAAGACTGATAATTGTGCCATTCTTCCATTCATATACACAATCCATTGAAAACCATTATGTTTCATTATTTGTTAATTACTAAGTCAAGGGGCAACATAAAAATATGGTTCAAATTTTAAAATAACTTTGTAGTTTCTCAATGTTGGTGTCTTTCTATACAAAGAGTAACTTTCTTGTCAGATAGTAAGTGTTGTGGGGTATTTACCAGAGAAGACTGCTCAGACATGGGTTTAAACCAATAGAAAGTCTTTATTAACCAGGGTGTTTGGGATCCCAGGGAGCTTTTCTTAGGGTGAGCTTTTAAGCGCACACACACACACACACACACACACACACACACACACACACACACCATATTCTAAGTTGACTATTGGAGGATGTTTGATCACATTGTGGACCCCAAGATTTGTGAACAGGAAAAACTTGTTTCTTGTCGTGGTGTGGCTCAGCCCTAGCATATATCTTTAGCCAAGAGCTTCCTGTCTATTGTAAACAGGTGGTTATGGTGTGGCTCACCCCTAGCAACACCTTTAACTCAGGAGCCTTGTGTAAACAAGAGCTAAATAAAGTCAACCATAGGCCAAGAGGCACAGCAAGCAACCAGTTGACAGGGAGTGATCATACAAAAAACACAGGAAGGAGGGACATTGAGTTGAAGGGTATTTAAGATAGTGTAGCAAAGGGAAAAGGCTTTTTCCTTCTGGAACGTTGGTGGAGTAGGAAGGTCAGCTGGGTGCTTTCTCTGCCACTCTGAGCTTGTAGATTTTCACTCTAGCACCTGGCTCCTGAGTCTTTATTGGTAAAATCAAATGTTTGGAATTGTGTTTTTAAAAACAATAGTTGACATACTTCAGTTAACAAGAACAGTTAGCCAGAGCAGAGCTGCAGAAGCTTAAAAGCTTTTATATAGATTTTGATGGATTAGGCTTTTGTTTTAGTTTTGTCAGATGGTACTGTCTACATGCCCAGTTTTGCAGCCTGAATGGTATTTTTATCATGGAGTCAGTTGTGTTAAGGTCTCAGGGCCTACTACGGTCTTGAGACCTGTAACAATCAGCAGCATCATTGGGAAGTTAGAACCCTGAAATACACTATTCCCCAAAAAAGCCTCTGCAGTGTCTGTGTCAGTATGTGAGTGTTTTCAAGAGGAAGGAGGCAGAGAAACCCAACTGAATGGATGGAGCAGAAAGGATTCCCAGAGGCAAGTCAGGTTTAACCCAGGAACAGCACTCCCAGTGCTTTCACAACTATTTAAAATACAAGAGCAAAGCTAGCAGAGCTCCCCTGTCAGAGCTGAGCTCCAGCAGAGTGCTGCTAATAATGTTATGGTTGGTGTGCATGTGCATCAAGCAGGATTTCTCCAGCCTCCCCAAACTGGAGATTTCTCCCCAGTTGACACTTCTTCACTGAACCGGTTTCCAAAGCTGTTGGACCCAAGATGCATAATTCCTCATGAAAAATTCAGTCTGTAGTCTAATATGATTGAAACTCAGCCTGGGTTTGTTTTATAATGCACTGGACTAGGAAGTCTGTGGGAAGTGAATTATTCAAGATGTGTAGGCAAACAAGGGATCTGTGCTCTCACATGGGGAGGGGTGATCAAAATTCTATGTGTCTTGTTATCTCACTTTATTTACTTTTAAAAAACGTCTTCAAATATTAGAAAAAAAGAAATCAGCAGCAATCTTCACCTCTGTCAGGTTCTGCGCTTCAGTTATTAATGAACATCAAATTTGACCACAGTTCTCTGTTGCCACATGTTTCACCATAACATTTCTGAGCCGATATTGAATATGTAAAATGTCATTGGATTTCCAAACATGACTGATTTGACTAATTTTATTGGTGAGAGAACTCTGATGAGTGACACTAACTTAGTGTGCTTGCATGTAAGACTGAACTGTAAATTATTCCCGCTGAAGGCAATGAGCAATGGCTGTCTTGAGACTGTTGGCGAGCAGCTTTGGAGTTAACCCTGCAAGCTTACCACAACAGCACGCAGTGGCATGCTGGCGTCCGCTCACAGAAATTTCTAAATCAAACTCCCCCTCGGCCACAGCCTTATAGTGGTCATCGTAGTGTGTAAGTGTTGTCTGTATTGATTCCTCCCCAAAAGCCCTTACCGTTTTGTTGTGGATTCCAAGTTTCTGAATATAAACAGAAATGGTCAGAAACTTTGACTTTGGAGGTCAAAACTGCTGAAAGAGAACAACCAGAATATCTTGCTTATTTAAAGACAGAACGTTTCTGTGAGGAAAGGAGCTTGATTGTATTTATACTAGAAGAAGACTATGGTGGGCTGTGCCTGGGAGGGAAGTGAGAGATGCTCTGCTTTGCACAATAAGTCACAATCCATAATTCAAACTAGAGCTGGTCTTGTGTCCTTTGTACAACAAACAAACAAACAAACAAACAACAACAACAAAACAGTGGGACTGGATGATCAGGAGGACAGCAGGACAATGCAAGTTACTTGAGTGCTTTGGGAAATCTCAGATGATGGAGTGGGAGCGAGAGGAAAGCAGAGGGCAGCCCAAGGAAAGAAAATGCCACGAGGGGTGGGGCTGTTTCCCAGAAAAGACAACACACAGTGACCTACTTAGGAAATAAATACACAAACCAGGAATTGCCCAAGGTCAGAGATACACATCCTCTCCCACTCAGATGATTTCAGGTATTCCGGGCAAGAAAACAAATCACTTAAGAGAGTTCCCTTGTACTTGCCTGGGCAATAAATCTCAGACTGTGGAAAGCTTTCCTTTGCTAAAATGTTGTTAAATAAATGGCAGCAAGCAAACTGAGGTCCACCTTATACATGCTTTTTTTGATAAAGGCAACACCTGACAAAGAACAGCACTTCCCCAGTGACCATTTTACGTCAACCCTGAACAGGTTCCTTTGAGCTGGTCCCCAAGATCACCAGAAGCTCCACAGGCCAGATGCTTCAGACATATACCCGGATGAAACCTGTGTGCTCCAGTGTTCATTTCGCTACATACATTTTCTAGGTGATTTTTTTGAAATAATTTTATTCAAAGCTTTATACGCACCAAGAAGATGAAAGACGTCAGAGTGTATAGGCCCAAACCATTGAAAGCCTCTAAAGTTAAATAAAGACTGTGTTGATAAAAATTATATCTGAATCCATACCCGTATGTTATCAATCACCCTGTCTCTCCTATCTACTTAAGCTTATTATGATCATAATTCCAATAAAATAAACTAGACAAATAACTGTCAGGAAAAAAACACTGAAAAATTCCAAAAAAAAAAAATGTTCTTGTTTGTAAATGTTTGTGGTGACAATCTTCATGACTACATGGATGGAAGGTAGACACCCATCTCCAAGCTGCCATTTTTAGTGTTCTTTTTTCATACCTATGTAAGAAACATCAAATATTGTGGTGGCTGACATTATGTTTAAAGATTAAATTACTGTGCTTAAAAGATCTATAAAACAAAACTTACCTTTAGCCTTAAAAGGCTGTACCAGTGAGAAAGGGACCCTATTAGCCAGCTTGCTTAAGAACAGATGGCCTCCCAGAATGCCTAGGATTTTTCTTGTAATTGTCTAGTCTCACACAATTTTAACAAAAACTGCTGTTCATGCAAGATAAAGGTCACAATGCTAACTGTGTGTTTCTGCTTCTGTCAACAAGCTTGCTTGCTCAAGATAACCAAGGACATCTGTTTGCTAATTGAGCCTCTGTTTACACATAGGCAGGATGCTTGCATGTAGGCAGGATATGTGCCAGACACGACCCTCATAATGTTCTTTCTCTCTCTCTCTCTCTTTAGAAAATAATTAAACAGACAAACAAACAAAAAATCCCAAGCAAACCAAAATTAAAAAAAAATAAGAGAAAGTGCAAAAAAAACACAAACACACACAGAAACAAAATCCATAAAAACACAAAATCAGAAACCATTATAAAGCACAAACAGACCCCCCCCCAAAAAAAAAAAAAGTAATACAAGACAAAAGAAAAATCACTGAATTCATTTTGTGTTGCCATCTACTTCTGTGTATGGGGCCTACCTTTAAGTGAGGATAATATACAAGTGAGACTTTATTGTAGAAAACTAGATTTTTCTTTGCAAGTTGATGTAAATTGGAGACAGCATCTTGCTTAGGGATGGGAGCTTGTGCCCACTTCACCTCTCAGCACTGGGATCCCATCTAGCTTAAACCTGTGCGGGCCCTGTACACGCTACACCACAATTTCTGTGATGTCAACACAACTTTGACATGGTCCCTTTGACATGGTCCAGGAAAGAAAGGCTGAGTCAGGTGGATGCTGGGTAAACAAGGGGGACAATCAGAGACTGGTGACGAAGCCTGATGATTCTTTCTCCATTTTTTTCTCTCTCATTTAGGGCCAAGTCAGACTGTCAACTGACAGTATCTTTTTCTATACCTGTTTCTTTTTCCCCTACCTAAACTTAATCTATTTGGGGTTGAGATGAGGAGCTCAAGAATAGTTCTACTTGGGTTTGAACCCCAGACCTCCAGGTTTATGGTCTGATGTTTTACCAACTGAGCCACCTGTGGAGGTTTCTGGTATTTCTGCTGCCAAAGATACTTTGTAGCTAAAGTCTTTATTGCTTAACCACAGGTATCCTTAATTAAACTGACAGAGAACTCCTGGCTTGTTTGCTCAGGGATTTTTATCCAGTCTTTACCAGCTCAGTGTAGTAATCCCTGTCCTCTGTTTGAGTCAGGCACAATTAGAGCTAATTGGTTGGGACTGTGAGTTCAGAATGACAAAGGTTGACAAGGCCTAAAGGTTAACGGGATTCAAGAAGTTACAAGATATATGTTTATTCAATTAGGACTGACCTGGCTACACATTTTCCAGCTATCTCTTTATAGTGAGTTCAGGACAGTAATTTTAGCTGTCTTTCATTCCAAGAAACAAAGTAAATTTAGAATGACAGTATTTTATGCCATAAGCTGACAAGGTGTAAGGACTTACAATAAAAGTTTGCATTTATTGACACCAAGATTTGTTCTTAATTTAGACATTTCTTGGTTGCCCCATTATATTTTAGGTTCATGGGAAGTTCACAGCAACATGCCATCTCCAGAGTGATCTGAAGCCGCAAATCTGCCTCAAGTCTGTTTCCTGGCAAGGCATCTGGAGGTCAACGAAAGTAGTTACTGCAGCCGTAAACTTTCTATCCATTAATTTAACTTCTGACATTGTTTGAATCAAATCGGGAATTCTATAATCAGGAATTAATGCACCTGAACAGCAGTGCAGCTTCATAAAGATCTTGTAGGAGGTGTGTTCAAACAGTGGGTAAATCCCCAGAAAGTGAGGGTTCAAACCATGCCAGATTTTTTGAAAGATGCAGTAGCACGGAAAAGAAGGGTTGTCAGAGGCTGGAAGCAATTCTGGGGTGCATCATGGTATAGACCTTGAAAACCACCTACTGACCTTCCAGGAAGCTCATATGCCTGCTGAACTTCCTCAATTCAGTGGCTCTTGGAATCTTACAATCTTTCTGTCTCACCTTTCACATACTTCTTTTTTGTTTTGTTTTGCTTTTTTTAGTTTAACTTTTGTATTCATTCAACTAAAAATGATCCAGGTTGGATATACATTTCTGAGTTGATGAATACAAAATTTTCACAATGACCGGCTTGAGCAGGGCTTTAGTCAATGTTGTACCCAGGTCGTGAGACCCCAAAAGACCACCAGAAGTTGAGTCCATTGCAAAACACATGAAGGTTTGTTTAATACAAGCTCGAGCCCAGGTCGCAGCAACCTCCCTGGTGAAGAGGAGGAGTACAGCAGCACAGTCTAGGGGAACAAGGTTTTTAAAGGGCAAAACCGCCAGCAGACAGTTGCATGCCTTGGCATTACATGATTGGGTAAGGGAAATTGACTTTTGAAATGATTGGTTTACTTTAGGCACCAAGTCCATAAACGGTCCTGGCCTGGCTATCTGGATGGTTGCCAGGAGATGGTATCTCTTTAAGTGGTTCTGGCCATCAGGGCCAGTTTCCTAGCAACTGTATCTCTAGTAGGCAGGAAGAGAATTCAGTAAAGCTGGTTCCTCTCCCCAGGTGGCTGGACATTGTTTCCACCTGTCTGGCCTTTGTTCAGGCTTGTGCTTTAGACTTTAAACCAATACCCAAAAAAACCTAATTTTTAATTCTCTGGTCTCTCTGGTCAAAGGCCACACAACCTTTAATTTGATCATATTTCATGATTTAATGTTAAGAATACTATTGCAAAGACACAGACCATTAGATATGATATATTATTAATCATTTGACAGGATTTAAAATACCAACCACAAGTGAATGTAAACCAATGTCAAGGAAATTTTGGCATGTTTCAAAATGCCATTGGTCACAAACATCAAAAATGCTTTATAAACAAAATGTTTATAACATTTTTACAATGTTTATGCAAGATTAATGTTTTAATTTTGTAGAAAAAATTATTTTAGATGCATATAAATGTCTGTGCACCTTTCAATGAGCCAGAGACTTTTTTTAAAAAATATTGCTTAGTTAAACAATATAGACTTTATCAGCAGTTTGGAGAAGTGAGATTACAAGTGACTATGACAGCCTGATGATAATATAGCTCATACAAATGTCGAAGGGAAAATCAAAGTTTATGTCCAAAATACAGTGATTGTTTTAAGATGCCTAAAAGGTTAAATAAAGCATGCTACATGGCAAATGATGCTGTCAGATAAAAGTCAAGTGGAAATCTGATGTCTTGACAGTCTTAATATAGCTTATATTTTCATGAGGGGGGAAAAAAAGAATGTATCTTATGCCTTGCTTAGAGTGTGGAGAACATTTATACAAAGTAGAGTGTGGATATTATATACAATCAGGGAGGCAATTATAGTCATGAGGTTCAACATTGGTGCAAATAAAAAAAAACTCAGATTGTGTCATGTGGGACAAGATAAACCTGCTTCAGTGAAACACAAGCCCATTGCCTCAAATATCCAACAGCTGATGAATTTATCTTTCATGCCTCTTGCAAGTAAACCACGCTTGTCATTATTACGTAGAAATAAAGCAGAGAGTGAGAACTTTGTTGCAGACAAGCCAGCGACCATGGAGAGGAATAGAAAGCTTTGTGCTGTTCCGACTACTAAGGACTGGGTCTATCCC